TGGTTAGGAGCTAGGTCAACACCACTTTAATTCTGGCTATATATAACCAGAAGTCATTATTAACCAGGGTCTGAGATCATTCTTTAATAGCCGCTTCGAATCCTGGCTAAATGGGAACAGTGACTATTCTTGATTGCAGCTGCCAACCATGCAGTTATTGGTCAGTTCCTGGTCCTTATTTGTGGAAAAAACCCTCTAAGACAGGGTTGGGCAACTTGTTTCTCAACACTGGCCATGGCTAATAGGAGTCATAGGCCAAAACACGCAGAGGGCCAAAAGCCCTGCTCTAAGCATCAAACAAAATAGCTCTTTGTGAGGGATTGTGCACACAGTAACACAATTAACTCTGCCAGACTTCTGCATGGTAGAAGTCCCCCTGGCACCGTCGTTATTTGTTTTTCGGCACCAGGCTAAGACCTTTTTATTCAAACAATATTTTAACAATGTCTAATATTTATAGGTTTTAATTGTGAAGCCAGGGTGTTTCCAGGTTTTAATTGTATTATATTTTATGTATTGTATTATATTTATTTATTTCTGTGAGCCGTCCCATGGCTATATAGCAAGGGGACAGCATACAAAAACATTAAATAAATAAATAAATAAATGGTATCATTCCACCTGAGTTTTGTTTTGGGACAGAAATGGATGGAAGTGGAGATCAGGGACTAGTGTGACCTAACTACAGTGACTACTTTATAAACAGCATGCAAGAGTCAGGCAAGAGAGAGATAATGAAGAATTAGAGCTGAAAATCTATGTTGTGAAGAGCCAGCAAGAGGAAGCTTTGGTTCTTTAGACTGGTTGGAGGTTAGCACATTTGAATTAAAGTTCCCTAAGCCATGGTCTAGAAAGGATGACAGTCAGTTCTCTCGGGGATGTAGAGATGCTGTATTGGTTCTGAGGAGTATTGTTAAAAAGGAAATTTTCACAGTCTGCTTTTAAAAACTTGCTTCCTTAGTTGATGCCACTAAATCAGAACAATAAATTGTGACCGTATTTTGGTTTTCCAAATTGTTCAGTGTCAGCACTTTATGAAGAGCCTATTACCCATCAGAAAATTTTATGATGGGCTGACTTTGTAACTTCAACTATGAGATTCACCATCTGTGCTGCCTATAAAAATCTAACATCTGCAGGAATAAAACTGCATGTGCATATAAAAATGCATAATTACAGGGGCATGCAAATGACCATTTCTGCCTTATCACATTCTTGGTTCCATAGCAAGGGCAGAAATACAACTAAACCATTCCTCACATCTTTAATGTCTGAAAATTCTGATACAACAATGTCTGCTCCATTTAGCAAATACCTGAATTGGTCTAATGCAGATGCATATTTGTAGGTGCATCCCCATCTATATGACAATGAAATCCTAATTACTCTAGTTAATCATGTCACTTGATCCTAATCTTGCCTAATCTCCACCACTACCAGCACAGTTTGCTCAATGTCTTCATGATTAATTCTTCTTGTTGGCCACTAATGATCTCAAGCATCTCCTCTGTGTGTTTGGTGTTCTAGACTTGCCCCGTTAATACTGTGTTCATTTTACAGAATCTCATTTTCCTAGTTTGATGTTCCAACTGTTTGCTTCACAACCAGGATTATCCTCCTGAATCTTCAGCTTCTGAAAGTGGTTCTAACCTTAGCAACATCAGGAGCTCTCTGATGTCTTGCTTATTGTGATGGAATGTACTATTCTATCAATACACACCACCAGATGGAATGGCTATCCCTATTCTTGCCTGTATGTTGGCTTCTTTAAACTTTGCGGCCTAGGATCAAAGGGTGTGCCTTTTTTTTCAGCATCACCCAACAAAGATTCTAAAAGAAGATTACTAGCTATTCCTCCTATGTTTCTTGACAGAAGCTGCACGGTTCATCAGCAATGATCTCTTTCATTAAAACATGCAGAGCAATTCCATTATGTCTGTTGGTTTTACTCCCTGCTTGACTTTAGGGGCTACTGCTTTGTGTAAAAGATAGAGGTAAAGGTTCCCCCATGACTTTAAAGTCCAGTCATGTCTGACTCTTGGGGGCAGTGCTCATCTCCATTTCCTAGTCAAGGGAGCCAGCGTTTGTCGCAGACAGTCTCCATGGTCATTTGGCCAGCATGACTAAACACCGAAGTGCACGGAACACTTCGAACCCCACCGAAGTGGTACCTTTTTATCTTCTTGGGAGAGGGATAATGCACAAATGTACAATAAATTCCTATCTGATCCTTTTCCTTTGCTTATAAAGATCAGTGCAGCACTCTTTGCTTGAAGAACAGTCATTTATTCACTTATCTCAGAATTCCCATCTGCTGCCTCAGATTTTGTTGCTCAGATTTTGCTTCCCTGAGGTTGCTGATAGTGTGTGAGCTCATAAACAAGTCATGTTCTCACACTTTGTAATATCACTGATTCACTTCTGCTTATTTTTAGTTTACTTCACTTTTCTTTTAACTTTGGCCAAATAGAATGGCAAGGAGTGGTCATCTTAAGCTTCCACTGGTGATGTCACTTCCCTGCTCTTTTTAAAGAGGCAGCAGAGAGGATCACCCAATTGAGTGAGTGTAGCTGTGCAAGATGGTAAAGCAGTTTTTCCTAAGAGGATGCAAGTGATCAGTTTTATTTTATATTCTAAGTCCAATGTTTAACTTATCAGGAAAGATCATTTTCCTATGTGAAACTAAACATCAAGCAGATTTTTTCCTCTGCACTTTTTGCCAGCACTTGGCTCTTTGTTTAAGAAATGTGTGGTCTACCAGGGCAAATGCAAATCATCCATATATAGCCCAGTAGGGACCCAATAAAGCCTCTGTTTTGCCTGGCCTACTATTTGGTCAAGCATCTGACAGGCCACAATACAGATGAGTTCCAGCCCTGTGGTTAAATACTATCAGACTGAGACAGTTCCAATGAACCAGTGGAGAACAACTTGCATTAAAAACAGCACCAGCACAGCTTATACATGAGATCCACTGATGTGCACACAACAAACACGGGGCCAGGGAATTCGCTGGAGATTGCCTGCTGCCTTCTGTGAACTGGAGTGTGGCACTGCAGGTTCTGATTTTTCAGTTTGAAGAAAGGGGCTGAAACTTGCATGAGTTTCTGCCCTCACTAAGAACTCATCAGAAAGGGGTCTCTGAAAGGCATAAGGCAGAAAATGCCATGGTACTGAATACAAAACACAATTTTCAATTAGGAAGCAGCACTCCAAAAGTCATGGGGACCCACTTAATACTCCCTTAATTAGCATGAATAGAAACACTTGGTTAAGAATTATTACAGCTTAAGCATACCAAAAAAGCATACTACTCCATGCTAAAGAAAAAAGATGATAAAATTGTACAAATCAATTTGACAATATAGAACACCAATTGAGGTATTATGGGTATCAGCCAAGAACATGATTTCTCACAGAGGCTTCTTCACCGATCACAATATTCAAACACATTTCACTGCTTTAATTACAGTTCCCCTTGAGGGCAATAAAGAAAACAGCCAGAATGAAAGATAACATCTAATATTAAAGAACAAGATTTCAGAAGCCATCAAGACTGCTGTATTGCTATTATTTAAACATGACTTTCCAAACTCATTATTTTATTTGAAAACTCTGTGCCAATACCTCAGACATATTAAACCCCCTTAACAGAAATGAATTTCATGTGTGTAACAGTTTTGCCTAGACTGAAGTTGGTCCTGGAGGTATATTGGACTGTAATACCTTTGCTAATAACATTCTGTTCCTTTACTCTCCTGCAACCATCTTGTCCTCTGTAAGCTAGTTACAAGGTAGACAGTGCAGCACTATGTCAAATTTATGTATTTAAGAAATTCCTGTATTACCCAACAGTTTTCAGAAGCTCACATATAAAATGATGAAAATCACATTGCCAAAAGCTACACAGCAATCAGGTTTTTTTAAAACCTGTGAGAATAAAAAGGTCTTCACCTGAAATGAAATGGATAATCAAATAGACACCAACTGAGTTGCCCCAGAAAAGAGTTCCAGAGAAAGTATTTTAAACAAAAACAGTATCTTCTCAGTTGCCACCTGCTTCACCTGAGCTGGCAGAGGGACTGAGAAGAGGGCATCAACAGATGGACGTGGTAAGTTGATATGGGAAAAGTTAAGCACATTATTTAGAAATGCTCCACAGGTATGACATACTTTCAACAGGAGCAAAATTTGACACCCAGGGACTGCTCTTGGTCAGTCACACGATGTACTTGTTCAGGCTTCTGGACCACTGTCAAAGGCACATTCATGTATTGTACTCTAAATATGAAGTTACCAGAGAATGAATGACTGCACCAGAACTACCCTTAAGAGACTACCAAGAGCACATTTGGTGTGTAAGCTGGTGGAAGTTGTAATCCACCAAGCCTATACTGAAGGACACCATGGTCAAGGGCAATTATGAAGGCCACAGAGAGGTCCAAGAAAACCAACAAGGTTGCTCTTTCCCTGGTCTTTTCCCAGCAAAGGTCATCCCATCGGTTTCCAATCCAAAACCAGCTATTGAATGAGACTGTCCAGACAATCAAGTTTCATCCAGGAAGTTGCATGGCTGCTACCTTCCTGGCAATAAAGAGGGGATACCTGAAAACAGGTAGGGCTTGAATTCCTGGAAACACAGCTTCCACTGCTTCGGGACTTCACTGCTTTCAGCAAGTCAAGAGAACAGGTCATAAAAGTGAAAGACAATTTATTTTTTAATAAAATATTTGGCTAGTAAGCTCCATTTCAGGTAGAAAATAATGTGTGGTGTCTGAGGTCTGAACAAGAATAGCAGAGGTGCATCAACAAGAATTTCAAAACAATATGCTAGGTGCCATATACATTAAGATGTAGGAGAGTTATAGGGCTTTTTTCAATCTACACATACCTAAGATTGCTGGTAGTTGGAGGACATTTTTTCTGTCTAACCAAAGATGGGATTGCACCTTCAAATAGCTTAGATTTCTAAAATGGCATTTAGAGTATTGCTTGCTTACCATTTGTTTCCGGTTCTCTACCAGATGGATACCAATAATCCCAAGGAAGGATCCAAACCCAAGCTATGGCAAAGAACAAACTGAGAATTAATAGGTCAGGTTAGCTGCTTACAAAAAATACAATGAGTTTTTTTACAATGATATATAGGAAGAAGAAGTGCACTAGGCACCACAGTCCAGGTCTTAAGTATATGTTTCACATGTCTTAGACACTTTATTTTACAGGATTTCAGATGGCAGATCACAAGCAATTTTTATGAAGCCCCAAGAAAACTGCTGGCTGAGCTTGTGTATCTCCAACCTGTTTATACTTCTCTTAGCATCCAAGAGGCTCCCTGTACCTACCTATGCTTATTTTATTTTTTAAGATTTCTTTACAACCTTCATTTTGTAAATGGGAGGCTGGTATATGAAAACAAAAAGTACTGGCCTCCAGTATCATCTGTGGTTCAAACAGGTGGCTTTTGGTTTCTGAGTTCAGAGTCCCATATCTGTGGCTGGTGATGCCCACCAAAAAAGCAGTTTGAATGGCAAGTATCCTACAACAGAAACCCTTAGATGAGATCATCCTTAACAGTCTCAAAATTCCAAATAAGCTACTGAACCCAAAATGCTGAGGACCCCTAACGAAACATAAGGCAGTTCTTTATATCCTCAATGGCAGTAATCACAAAAAAATGTGCATATCCAACCTTGACTTATAGCGCAGATATATGAACTTAAGCCTGTTTTGTACTTCCTACAGCAAGGCATTATAAATCTGTGTATGTTAAACATAGTGAGTAATCACAGTCACTTAGGCTTTCTCTATGAAATATCACTAAGGACAGAGCTGGAATTGAAGGGAGACAGGTTATTAATATTCCCAATAGTGATTCTCAGAAACCATAAATGTGGAATAACATTGGCATCACAGGGAGCAATACTGACACAAATATTTAGGTACGGGTAACTAGCAGCTTCTTCAGTAATGCTTACAGTTCTTTCGGGGTAGGGGTGGGCAGGAGCGAAAGAGACAGATTTATTGTGGCTGGTCCATTATACAGAATAACACTTGGAATACTGGAAAATCTAAAATAAAATTTCTGCTCCACTTACAATTATTCCCGGGTAATATCCTCCCACGGTTACATTTTCGGTCCTTGTGGTAGCTGCAAGGCCTATGGTCAGTATGAAAACAGATACTACCAGCAGAGCCACTGTGAACCAAAGAGAAGTTTTCTTTCTTTTTGCAAAATGGCCTGTGAACAAACATATCATAAATGCATACAGAATATATGCAAATCCCAAGGCAGTAATTTGCCACTATTTATTTAATGAATTTCTAACCCACCCCATTAGCTACATGGCTCCCTGGGTGGGCTACAATATCCCACATTTGCTCAAAATGGTATAGTAACCATACAGCTGAGACACAGTATCTTGACTAAGGCCATCCAGTGAGTTTCACAAGTGTGACTTTGACATCAGGTTTTCATATTTAAGTTTAATATTCTTAATGGTCAATTATATACTACCAAATGTATAACTCATGCAAAGGAAACATGATGTACACCACAACCTGAAGCACTAATTTCTCCCTTAATATTTCATTGTTAACTACTTTTATTATTTTCCCAGTGCTTGCAATTTCTGCATGAGTTCCACTCTCATCCTCTTTTTATTACAGTGATCTTCATGGCATTTGTATACAGAAAAAACACCTTAACATTGGCACCATGACATGCTCCTCTCCTCCCACTCCAAGATTTTTTTTTGGGGGGGGGAGTAGTTATTTTTTAGTGCACACTTATGGGATGACATGACCGTGAATAATTTTTTTTTAAGCTCCAGTTCTGTGAACCATTAATGCTGTGTACATAGCAGATTTTTTTTCGAAAAAAGCAAATTATGTATATTGCATTACACTGATTACTGTGTGCCCCCATAGCAACTTCACACATGAAAAGGGCTCCAGTGGAGATACTACCAAAGACAGGCAAACGTTTTTCCTGTCAAAGACTGCATTCGCATGAGAGTAAGAAGCTGGGGCCACATGCCAGAGCTGGATGGAATCAAAGACAGTGGTGGGCAGTTCTAGAACCCAAAGACTTTGCTACAATTAGGCAAAGTCAAGCAGTTGCCCTAAGTGGCAAATGCTGAGAAGTAGCTGTAAAGTGTTAGAGGAAAGAAGCGTCACAAGGCCGTCACAAAGAGGAAGGACAGGATCTCTTCCCAATCATTCTAGAGTGCAAGACATGGAATAATGTGCTCAAGGTACAGGAAGCCAGATTCCAGCTAAATATCAGGAACAAAATTACGGACTGTTAGAGCAGTAAGACAATGGAACCAATGACCTAGGGAAGCTGAAGGGTCTTCCCACACTAGAGGCATTCAAGATGCAGCTGGCCAGCCATCAGAGAGGGATGGTTTAACCTGGGTGTCCTGCACTGAGCAGGGGGCTGGACCCAATGGCCTTCTGGCCCCTTCCAACTCTACCATTCTATGATACCTACACTATACAATACGTGTGGCACATTTTTCCCAACTGCATTTAGCAAGCATGCAACACTGTTAAGGCAATCCTTATTGTAACCCTTGCCATTATTCAAATAAAATTCAGCAAAGAACACAGTACTGGAATGACCTGCTTTAAGTCGACTGTTGGCAACATGAGCAATTCCACACGGACACACTCCATTCACAACTATTGCAAGCAACTTGTTCAGCTCTCCAGTCACTCAACACAGTGGAATGTGTCATATCCTCCAATTGATAGGGTATAAATAATGCTGGCTCTTTGGACCCAGCAGTATGCATTAATTCCATCTATAGCACTGCATGGTGCAAGCCAAACAGAAGCATGGAGGAATCAAGGACAGATATGTGCATAAGTGAAGGTTTTAAATGATTTTATATGCAACTGTTTATTTGCTCATTACACATGGACAGAGATGTAACAAATAGCTACTAATAACACTTTTCCAATGCAATTTGAATTATCTTTGATATAAGCCAATGCTTTTGTACTATAGCAGTTGTGACCCAAAGCTATTTAAATTCATACTTTTCTCTAGGGTACCAAGGGAAATGGTCAACCATGCCTTAGCTGATTTGAGCTTTTATCTTTTAACAACTAATTAAAATGAGCTGAAAAAGTTCTAGATAATGAAGAAGGCTATGTAATCAACTTCCCTCCATTTAAGAATTTGCAATCATGCAGAAGTCACAAATTTGCCTATCATTGTGGTATGCTATTTCATACCATTACTACTTAACTTCTTATCAACAGCATTTTTTACTCTTAAATGCTGAGTTAAGAAACCCTTAGGGAATAGTCATGGAAGTTCTTGAACCATTACAGTTGAGCTTATAATTTTGCTTGACCACTTTGGTTGGCAAGGTGATAGCTGCACTTCATACTTCACTGTGAGAAGTATTAACATAAACAATGTAGAAGGTAGGTAACACCACTTCTACAACCAACCCCTCCGATTGATTTAAGCAGGGCTTTTTTTGTCATAGAACACACTGGAACGGTGTTCCGGCACCTTTTTTCGACGGATTTTTCCAGGTGATTTTGAATTGCCCTGTTGGGCGTAGCAGGTCAGCGGCAAAATCATTAAAATCGTGCATGCGGGCTGCTTGTGTGTCCGCACTGGTTGTGATGGTGCTGCTCAGCTTTTGACATTGCTCGGCTTGTGATTGGTCATGTGGTTGTGTGCTGAGTGCTTACTGCAGGCGGCGACCATTATGTTTCATTACACAGTGTTGGTGTGTGTAGAGTGACTGGCTACGTGCAAAAGGTAAATAATTTCTTTATTTTAAAAAAAAGTTGGTGAATTGAAAATCTTTCATTTTTAGTGTAAAAGTGTGACCCCAAATTTAAAAATGAAAAAAAATACTAATTACTTCTCAACCACCAGTCCTGCTAATAAAAGATTACCCTAAAAAAACCTAAATAAAAGATTAACAAGATGTGAGTTCTGGCACTTTTTTTTTTTTTTACAAAAAAAAGCACTGGATTTAAGTACTGCTCAGTATGCGCTTTGGAAAAGTATATTTATCTTTGTCAGCCCATGAGGATTACTTTGATGAAGAATTTTCCACTCTGCAAACAAGTGCAACCCAACTGGGGTGGGCAACTTGGCGTACCTGCCTGATTTGGCCTACAACACCCATCAGCCCTAGCCAGCATAATCATTGCTGAGGGATAATGGGAGTTTTAAGCTAAAAATCTGGAAGGCTTTGTTGGACACAAGGGTTCCTATCCTGGCATGCTCTGCCCAATTAAGCACGAAAAAAAAAGGGAAAGAATCTAAGTTTTATTCTCGAGAAAAGTCCCATCACAGCAAATGGCCAATTGACCCAGAGAGCACGGTACCGTTCCCTTTTACACCTTTGATGACCAGGTTGCAATGACGGACACCCAGTGAATTGAAATTCCCACCATGGATGCTGATTGGTACATCTGAATTCCGGTGGTTTCTACTCTTTCCTGGGAGGTTGAGGCTCAGAGCAGTGAGGGATTTTGCAATATCTGGCTCTGTGACTCAGCTCTGATTGCTTCAGCATTGCAGAAGAATGCCAACCAGCGCTGAATGCCAACCAGCCAGGTATTTCCTACAGCTATAAGCTGCCCAATGCAATTAGATGAGAATAAAAACACAGGCTCCCATCACTGAATTCTTTATATATAGTCAGACAGACTGGAGAAATTACAATCTATAGCAATTTTGTCTAGGACAGGGCAGTCTTGGAGATGTAACACCATCATTGGGCCTGTTCCAGGGGTGACAATGCTGGATATTTGCCAGGACTCCAAACAGATGACCCACTACCCCAAATTTTCTACTTTGCACAGAGGATACAAGAAGATCAGATGCAGCCCCAGGATATTTTCAGTTTGCATGTTCCATATCTTTCAAGGGGCAGTGCTGGGGCCAGGACCAAAAGGAAACAAAATGGTAAATGTAGCTACATTTGCAACACTCCTTTTACCAAATCAGAAATCTCAGTTGATCATGCTGGGTGAGTTAACAATTACAACAAGCTTGGATGAAAGTGTAAAGCTTTATTTCCAAAGAGAAGTAACCAAATAGTTTTCACCATCAACAGGAAGGTCTGCTCACCCAAACCCAAAATGCAGCAGGTGCGGTGACAGAAAGTGCAGTGCAGTACACTCAGCCAACAGAAAAGCAATTGACCCATTCCTATTTGCAAATGTGCCATCATTAATGGCATGGTAATAACCTAACCTGAAGGATGGGTTGGAAGAACAAGCACAGGCTTGCTCCCTCTTGCTTCCAAAATGTCAGGGGTTCTTATACTTTCCAAAAAGAGTAGCCTGTTGCCTGGAGTTCCTTGGCTGCTTTCCTTTGCAAATGAAAAACATCACCCACTGAAAGCCAGTTCCTTGGAGCCTGCCAGTTTTCCACAATATATAACAGTTGTCCAGTGCCTCACTATTATCTCCCAAAGGCTTTATTGGCTGCCATATTTTTTCTTTTAATTGTAACCTCTTCTGCCTCTAATAGATATCCTGTTGTCCTCATTGTCAGTATACCTTAGCATTGATTATTCATATTAGCGTTTTCACATGTTATCTGCTCACACCTGTCCCCCATCTCCTTGCCTTTCCTGAGAGAGAAAAAACATGCACCCCCAGATCCATGTCTCCATTTTCACTTCAAGGGGAATAATAATGTTATTAGCCGAACCAAACCAAACCATTGCACCAAGTGATTAGGACAGTATCCTCTTTAACACTGTTAAACTTTCTAAGACAGTAATCTACAAATAAGATGTGTGAGATAACAGGATAAAGGAAAGTTCATTCAATAGGTGTGTTTAGAAAGATGTGGGATGCTGGGAGGAAAACATGGAGCTACATCAAGCAGAAAGTTAAAGATAGTGGAGGATTCTGGCCATTTACTTTGGATACACTGCCATGCCTTACTAGCTATTTGGTCTTCTAGAGGAAAATATATTTTCCTACTAATTTATGGAGGAGCAGTACATTATTAAGAAAAATATGGAAATGGAATGGAAAAATTAGACAAGATGAGTTGTAATTCAATAAACCAATAAGTAAGGTTTGGTCTGCATCACATTTGAAACAACAAGCAAGGTAACTATTTCAGTGTTTGGTGTGTTGCTTTCTCTGTTGAAGGCTGTAATAAAGCCAAGACAACAAAAATGTTTATATTACTTGATTTTCTCGTTAAGAGTCCATTTTACAGTGAAGAATTTGAACATGAGG